ATGGTCAGCAGGTACTTGGATATAGGAGTCTGCAGCTTAAGGCAAAGGCCAGGGTCAAAGATACAGACCGAGGAGGGAGCAGCCTGGGGGAGATAATGAGTTCAAGAGTGCCGGGGGTGGTGCCCTGGGAGCGACTGCTATTCTCAGGGTGACATTTGGCCCTGCTGATATTCAGTCCCCTTCCCACCTCCCTTGGTACTTCTCTAACCTCTGACCTCTTCTCCAAATGCTTTGCAGATTCCTCTTCCTCCTCCCTAAAGTGTGGTGTTCCCAGGGGATTTCACCACCCGGTCCTCTATTGTGCATCCATCAGAGCTTTATCTCCAGCCCAGAATTCTTATGTAAGATTAAGACCGATGTCTGCAACCACTTTCAAGAGAAAAGAGGTAGTTGCAGTGTGGACCGATTGTCCAAGGGCCATCACAAAGGGTTCGTGGCTCTGTGTCCCATTTGTGTGCACTCAAGACTGGCACTGGGAATTGACCCTGTGACTATTTCTTGTTTCTCTGAAATCATCACATCTGGAGACCAGAGGTTAGAATTCAGATCTGCTAAGGTGCATTAGTATGTACCCCACCTCCCCACCCTATTTGAATCCTGCACATACCTTTCTCAAGGTTGTTGACTCCCCTTTTATGCCTAGTGTATTGTTTTCTTTTCATCAGGAACTGAAATTAGACCAAAATGGAAATAAAAATTTAAATCTTAGATACAGAATAAAAATAACCGTTCAGATCATTAAAAAGGAAAAATAAGTTTCTATGGCTCGACTTCCTTAAAACAAAATTCACAACTCTCATTTTGTGAGAAAGAAGTGCTTTTTATTTCAGAATACCTTGTTTTGTGTTCACTGTTTGAATGATGAAGGGACTCTGAACTCATAAGGCAAACCATGCCGTGACTTACATTTTTTATGTAGAGAAGTTGGTTAAAGCACAAAATCAGTATTTTGATAAATTCCCTTTTTAAAATGTTTTTCACATCAAAGACTTAAAACTAGTTACAACAGTGTGATCTGTTCCTCAGGAACACAAGGATGACTTTGGACTTGATGAGAAACATTGAAAACAAGCACACAGCGCCACCTGCGTCCAGCTGTGGGGTCTAGAGAAACACTTCCTGAGTTTGTCTGAGGGAACGTGCTGACCCGTCAGCTGTACCCCAGTTCACCAGCAGATTCAGGGTAGTTCTTTAGCAGATTTCTATTGTGAACCTAGGTCTTTGAATTTAACCCTTTGGGAAGATTTGTGCAGTATGAGTCTTTGGTATCTTGGAAATTTCACAGGAGAGAGGAAGAAAGTTCCATTTATTCCAGAAGCCATTGGTATAAATCATGTGCTTCTGTGAGGTCAACTGATCAAGAGTTTTAAGGTATGTGGTCATCACCCCAGTGAGCAGCTTGCCCTTGCATGCTCAAGGGAGCCAGCTGAGTGTCGGCCATGCTCGGTGGCGTAACAAGAGTTAGGGCTCAGGAAAACTGGGTAGTTTCTTGTTAAGCTCAGGCTTATCAAGAGTCAGAAGGACTCAGGTAGACTTGTATTTACACTCCCAGACCCATACAGATAGATGTAGAAGAACACGATCACTTCTGTTCTTCACAAAGTACTCAGGACTTCGACAAGAAACATCACAAGTTTACATAAGTGCCCATTTTCATATCAATTTATGAATTCAAAATTCCTCTCAAAAAGAATAGGAGATACTGCTTTTAGCCAGCAATTTCGGATGGGAGTACTAACACCCATAGGAAATTGTAATGGTGTTCTCCCTAGGTTTTAAATTCCTCTTATCCATTTTTGACATTTTCTCCATTGTATACTAAATTCTGCCCATCCTCATATTAATTTACTATTCTTACCAAATACCTTTAAACTATTTGTATACATGTACATATATATTGTTTATTAAGATGAATCTTACGAAACTGATAATATTTGATCATTTTGTTTGAAAACAGTTTTTTCACATGCTTGAACCTAATAAAATCTGAACTTTAGCTGGATGGCTGTATCTCCTTATGTATAAACTATGCCATGCTTTCTGCTTTACTTCAACAGGGAGAATGGAAATGCTTACTCTATTCACCACTTCTTATGCATCCTTGCAAAACTGTGCTTGCTGACTACTGGTAAACTTCATGAAAATATTAAAGGTGTAGTAATTTCCACAAATACAATATATAACCAGAAAAAGTCTGCTCCAAACTGGGCAGATTGAATTACATTACCCATCTACCTAACTGGAATAGCCTACCCTAAAAGATAGTTTTTGCAGGCTTACGGTCAGGTCTAGAATCAAAAGGTCAAAAATAAAATACCAAAGCATGGGGCTTCCCTGGTGGCGCAGTGGTTGAGAGTCCGCCTGCCTATGCGGGGGACACGGGTTCGCGCCCCGGTCTGGGAAGATCCCACATGCCGCGGAGCGGCTGGGCCCGTGAGCCATGGCCACTGAGCCTGCGCGTCCGGAGCCTGTGCTCCGCAACGGGAGAGGTCACAGCGGTGAGAGGCCCGCGTACCGCAAAAAAAAACAAAAACAAAAAACAAAAAAACAAAACCCAAAGCATTTTCAACTGGAAATTCTACTTCTGTGTCCTCAATGACATTTAATATTATAGGGGGCCCACCCTGAGACCCCACACTAAGCACCAGTAAAAGAGGTATGCCCCAGACCTTACCTGTAAGAAAATTAACATCTTTCAAGAGATATAAAAATATAAATAATGAGAAGATATTCTAAGTATTGTCAGTTTCAAACTGGGACAGAATAAAATGTAAAAGGAAGACTGCATTTGAGAAATCTCAAAATGACTTCAAACATTAAGGGCAAAGAGCCAAATACAAGTGTGTGTCGAGCCTACATTCAGTCACTACACTAACCAAAGGTTCTGGATTCAAGGAGTCCTTTTATCACCCCAGAAGCAGTGATTAGAGATCCTCCAGGTCAGTTAAGTCCACAGCCACTTTCAAGAACAGGGTGTCATCTTTAATGTAGGTGGTCTTGGCATTCTCCAAAGTGGAATGAGCCACGAAGCGTGGACAGCCAGAGGCAATGTTCATCTCCCCATCGGGTCTTTTAAAGCTGCTGCTATTGGGGTCAGCCTTGAAAGTCTCCATAATGTGGTTCCTTTTGCCACTTTGGTCCAAAAGCATCAGGGTCACCCTCTGCCTGAATGGCCACTGCAACAGTGAGTCAAACTCCCCTCGCATCACCACAAAGTACAACGACAGGTGCGTCCCCTTCCCGGACCCGTCCCCATTCAGGTACGCTCTAGCGCAGAGCCTGTAGCCACACCGGCTGGTGTAGAAGGGCTGGCTGAAGATGGATACTGTGTGTCCGTCCAGCGCCTCCTTCTTCTTCAGCTTGTAGTCTGTGACCTTCCAGATGAGCTTTCCGTTATAGCAGGCACTTTCGAGCAGCTTAAATCGCTCTTCGTTTTTATTCAGCTGTGCTTTATGAATATTAATGTGGGCATCATGTTTGTTAGTCTCCCCTTCCAAAACAACTGCAAGGAAAAAAAGACTCTGAAGGCCTTAAAGTTGTCTTTAAAATTTGCCCAAAGAGGAATTTTGTTATCCGAAGAGAATCAAGAAAATTCTGACATCCCAAAGATGAACTGAATTCAATGTCCACCAATGGACAATTCCTATTAATAATATCAACTCCGTGATTCTCGTGTCTTGGCAAGATTGGCACCAAGAAAACCCAAATGCGTCCTCTTGATCTGAGGATCACCAAAGTGTTGAGAAGATGCACTCTGTACTGAGCTAGCGGGCATCTGCATGGTAAGCCCCACTGCTTTCTAACTGGAAGGCTTTTAAACAGCCAAACCTGTCTCTTTTTCTATACTTAAAACAATGTTCCCACCACATCTTTCCCCTTCTCATTTTTGTCTACTCTCCTTAAAAAACCATCACTGCCTGTTCTTGGAATTTCCTGACCCATTTCCACCCCTTGCTTGTTCCAGCTCCCACTCATGGCCCTTCATCATTTTTGCCTGAGTGGCCAGAATCTCGTGCTGTTCTGTCTCACAAATACCAGATTCAGCCATTGTTGATCCTGGACAGCTGTGACTCTCCATTGGCCAGGTCTGCTTGTTTCATGAACGCATGTAGAAATAATGAATCACCAACAGATAAGTATAAAACATTAGACATACCTAATCTTTGATCATGGGTTTCTAGCAGGGTGATTTTCTGTTTCACTGTATCAATCGCTTCCACCAAAGGCCTCAGTTCAAGTTTATTTTGTTGCTGGTTAGCCATTTGTAATAACTGACGCACCTGAACTTCTAGCCAAGCGGACTTGTCAACGTGACTGGCAAGAACCTTTCAGTACAAAGTGGATCATCATGTCAAAAAAATTTGAGTAGTTCGTTAAGGTTATATCTTTCAACTCAAACATTTCACCTTTAATTAATCAATTAATGAAATGAAAAATGCACAGTCCAGAAGAGAAAATTCAATGAGGATCTCAGAGAGATGAGTCACCTAATAGCTTCCTTCCCCTCCACAGCGTCTCTGCTCCTGTTTCAAATCTTTGAACTGTTCTTCATCTGAGTTTTACTCCTCCCTTGGTGTCTCTCCTCTTGGTTCTCTACCCTATCTTTATATCTCTGTTCTCTCCTTACCTTATCACTTCCTTCTCTTAGATGCTACTCTTCTGATTCACTCCTACTCTGCTAGAAGGCAGAGAATGCGCTGGAAGAAGGCCCACCTGTTCTGGCCTGAGCACTACAGGTGGTACAGAAGTGCCTGAGCTAAAGCCTGAACATTTGGTTGCTCTCTTTAGATGGAAGGGACTAAATAAAACTATAACTGTATTTCTTCTCCACTCTTACCCTTAGTGCCTTCACTCTTGACTGGTTCTTGTGTTAGAAAAAGGTCAGAATTGAGATAATAACATATGGTGGATTTCCTTTTTTCTACACACACTCACACACACATCCATATGGTATGCTGACAAATATGGAAATTATATGGCCTACATTTTCTGTGATAATCCAGATTTCAAAAAGATTGCCCGTATCACATCTTGAAATATTTTCCACTGTAAATTTTATAATCACAATAAAGTCATTATTCTTTAGGAATTTGTTTATGGTTATTTAACATTCATGATTTACAAAGTAATATTTGCTATATTTTAGTGATGCTTAAAGCATTTTCTTCCCAGGGGAATTAATAGTTTCACTTTGTTGACTACAAAATGCAGGACTACAGATGCTCTCAGGGAATCTGAAATCAAGTGACTAATATCAGCCCAACATTGATTACAGCCCTAATTGCCATAAATTATTTAAAAGTACCGTACCAGTGTAAACATGTACTAACATTGACAAATGTACTGGGTTATATAAAAGAGGACCTTTATTCTTAGGAAACACATACTGAAGTATGTAGGGGTAAAGGGCCATAAGACAGACAACTTACTCTCAAAGGGTTCAGAAAGAATACCCATGGGGGGCGGGGGGGTGACAGGGACAGGGTGGGGGAGTTTGGGACAAGAAGGGGGGGGAATGAATGAAGCAAATGGGACAAAATACTGACAATGAGTGAATCTGGATGCAGAATATACAGGTGTTCTTTGCACTATCTTATTCTTGCACATTTGAAATTATTTCCATTTAAAAAATTAAAAGAAAAACCCTCACGGCTAGTTGAAGGCTAAATCTTGATTATGAATAGAAAGGCCATTTCTCACCTGTATATTTGAGAGGAAAGTTCCATTTTTGCCAAACAGCTGTGCAAACTGCTTGAACTCCTTTTCGAATTTCTTTACGGTTTCTGCTAGCTTCTGGATTTTACTTTCTTTTTGTTCTAGGCTCTTATATAAGTCAGAAATCTAATAACAGGAATATGAATGAGGTCATTGAACTGCATGCACACAAGTTAAAATTTAAATATAGTTCTAGGAAAATATTGCAGGTTAAGTATTTCTAGGAAAGATATACACACATATATTTATAGAAAATATTTACAGGTAGATTACTATATAATTCTAAGAAATGTTCGCAGGTGCTTCCGAAAAAAAATAATAAAGAAAAGAAAGATCCATAGATTCCTCATCAGCCTTTTCTATATGTAACCCACTTTGATGGCTCATCTAATGCTAGTGACACCACTTGACTAAATTTGCTGAACTGGATCTCCTCTTTCATTCAGCATGCACTTATTAAACAACCGCAGAGTCCTGATCGCCATACCACATTAGATGCTGTATGCACAGCATCGATAGTAATAGCTGCAATTTGCCGAGTCTGTGAAACCCTTATATTCCTTAGCTCTTTTAATTCTCAAAGAACCCTATATGTTGGGTATGACTATCAGTTTCACTTTACAGATAAGGAAACAGAGGCAGAGCGTTTAAGTAACCTGCCCAGCATACCGCTAGCAAGTGGTAGGCAAAACACACCACCTCTCAGAATTTATGATCAATTTGAGGGAAATAACCAAAAACCTTCGCGTGATCCTCGACAACTCTTTTCTTACCCCTACACCCACTTAATCAGCAATACCTGCCAACTTTAGCTCCTGACACACAACAAAACAACTCTTACATCCATTTCTCATTGCATCTCATCTTGTTTCAGCCTGCGTTATTTCTCACCTGGGCTGCTACGATAGCTTCCTAACAGATCATACACTGTCCCTAACAAACACATACCCAAAAAGAAGCTCTATGGGAGCTGGACTGGCATGAGTCCCACCGTCCACTGGAACCTCAACAACTGGACTGGTGCCTGGCACCAGTAGGTGCTTGATAAATGTTTGTTAAATAGATGAATGAATGAATGCTCCCCCTGTCTTTAGCCTTGTTTTCCTCCAAATCATACTCCATACTGTGACCAGAAGAATAATAAGTGACAAATCTGGGCTGGTCACCCCTCCTATTTAACCATCTCTAGTGGCCTTCTTTTACAGGCTGTAGAGGGCCCTACAAAATCTGCCCCTGGCCACCTTTTCAGCCTCATGCCCATTCACACACTACACACCTTCTGTTTCAGGCCCTGCTCTCAGTCACTTCATCCTTCACCTAGAAGCGACCACTTTTTAAGCCTCACTCAAGGGCATATCCTCCCAGAAATACTTCCACACTAGTACCACCTACCTAGGCCACCTCTTAAGTTCCATGACATTCTGACCATACTCTAGAAGCATAACTTACCTTCATGACTCATTGCTTTTTTTTTTGGTTAATTTGGTCATTTTTTTCTCCACTAAATTGCTGAGGCTACATTTCACTTATTTCCTGATCCCCAAAGCCCAGCACAGCGCCTGGCACACAGAGGGCATTTGACACATGTCTTATAAATGAATGCACAAGTGGCTGCAATAACCATCTGATCTCTGGCCCCCAAATCTTCTACTTATACCCCAAGAGCTGACTCGCACGTGTGCACCAGACATCCTTGACCAAAAGCAAACTCAGTGTCTCCTCTTGCCCCCCAACCCTCACGTCTAACCTGTTCCTGTGTGCAGTGCCCATCTCAGTTAATAACATTACCAAGTTCCCTGCCTTAACTACAGCATGTGACTCCAACCTGCAAAAGTCTCTCAATGCCCTCCCTCCATCCCCACTGACACAGCCTTGGTCAAGCCTTCACCTTCGGCATCACCACCACCCACTACCACCTCCAGTATCACTTCTCCTAATACTGAACTGCTTATTGTTAGCCAGGCACTGTGCTAAGAGCGCACATATATAATTTGACCCTCACTACGACCCCATTTTACAAATGAGAAAATTGTGGAAGACAGAGGTTAAGTAGCTTGCCCGAACTCCTATGTGCGGAGCCAGGTCTCGAACCCAGGCCTTGCTGGCTCCAGGACCCTCACTCATCAATTGCCAGGCTCTATTGCCACACTGTCTAGTTTACTGCAGCATCTTTCTGCCTGGTCCCTCTGTCCTCATTCTCTTCTCTCCTTCTATCCATCTTCCATGCTACCACCAGCTGTCTTATTTTTAAAGCCAAACAATTAGCTGACCAAGTATCTTCCTATTTAAAAGCGTCTTTTAGATCCTTATTACTGGCAAACATTAGTCCAAACTTTGGCCCTTAAATCCTTTCTGAAATAGAGCAGAATATGAATAAATTAAAAAATCACTGAATGTAAGATATTTGAAACTTCTTGGCTTACATGGAAGGCCAATGCAGTCTGGACCCAACACACCAGTCTTCGGCCTTTCCCTGTCTCACACCTGGATGTCTCCCTACCCCCAAACCCCATTTCCTTGGACCATTAGCCTCTCTCATGCCTCTCCGCCTTGGCATAAACCTTCCCCTTCTGGAATATCCTCTTTCCACAACATTTTAAATGACGGACCTTCTCTTCCTTCAAGATGATGCAGCTCGGATGTGTTACCTTGAAAAGCCTTCTGCAACTCCCACAGAGTGAACTGCTGCAGCCTCTGTACCCCAACACAGGGCACCCCCATTGCACGTCCCACAAGGCACAGCATCTTATCTGTTTACATTTTTGTGAGCTCTTCAAGGGTACGTGCTGTGTCTTCCTTGACTCAGTGTCCCTAGCAACTGGCATTGTACCTGACATATGGCACGTGTTTGTTGGGTCAGTGGATAGACGAATGAGGCAACTCTTACAGAAAGAACTTGGGAATGGCTCCTAGGCAGCATGCCTTCCACCAGTTACAGTTTAATCAGTCTTTCTAATTTTCTCCACGATCTGACCCTGAAACTCACATACCTACTTTAATGTGGAATCAGACATCATAAAATAATCTGCAGCCGTAAAATTCAGCTCCCTCTCTGCAGCTGGATGGTTTTCTTCCCTACCTGGGCTTGAAAAGTCTGATCCTCTGAGATGCCCTAACAAAATAATGAACTTTTAGAATAATTACTCAATAGAATCAGCATTTATTGAGGTCCACTATGAATATTCCAGGGACTACGGCTGGCATTTGCACACATAATTTCACTTGATAGTCACAACCCAGTGAAATAAATATGTATGTATGCATTGATTGCAGTGAAATAAATATGCACGTATGAGTAGGTCGCAAAGTTAATAAGTTAAGACTTATTACAAAATATATAAAACCCACGGTGCCTAGAACAGATAGTCAAATGTTGTTTCATGGTAATACTGATTTCATTTAAAAATGCCAAACATCTACTAGGTTCCTACTAGGTGCCAGGTAATAACCACAAGGTGTGTGGATAGGCTGCAGAGAGGCAGTGTGGTGTAACACGGGGAGCACTGGACTGAGAATCAGGGACATGGGTTTGAGATTGAATTCTGTCCCTTAATATCACAAACACATCAAAATTTCTTTGAGCTTAGTTACTTCATCTAAGATCTCAAAGGCACTTTCCAGTTTAATGTGCTACAAGCCTGTGAGTCTGTCTGGCCTCTTAGTAGAAAAACATCTACCTCCAGTTGACTTATACTGAAACACAGGGGAATATAAAAATACCAACAAGTACAAATCCCAGCGATTCTGTTGCCTCCCTTTATACTTGAACCCTTGAATATTTACCTGTTCTTCTAACTGGAAGTTCTTTTCTAAAACCAGAAGCATGTGGTCCCGTAAGGCTGAATGCTCATGCTCCTGCAGGTTTCCTCGTTTATCCTTTAATATGAAGAGAAAAATAAGTCAGGTTGTTGAAAGGCTCCCAAAATGAGGGTGGTGGTGGGATATTCTGCTAAAGCAGAACTTTAACAACTTTGCTTACTTGTCTCATGGTGGGTTGCAGAGAGAATGACCCCTCCCAGGTCCCTTTTCCAGCTTTAGGATTCTACAGTACCCATGACACACTTACAGAGAGTCAGGCCACTATCAAAGTTCTCAGCACTGATTTCGTTCCTTGCCCTGGGAGTATATGACTGAGGGTTAAGTGTAGTTATTACCACCTCTCAACTATTCCCATATAAAACTTACCTCCTTGGTGGGTTATCTCCCAGATCAGTTTTAAGCCTCCGTTAGTTCTCTCTCCTACCAAGCACACTTCTCTACCGCCTTCTATCACTGTCCTTTTATCGGGCAGAAGGTATGCAACCTAATTGTAATGTCAGCCCATGCAAATCTGTTGCCTTCAAAGTCAAATTATATGTTTGCAAGAAGAAATGCAAACTTCTTCCCTTATCATTAAAATTCCATTGCAGACTGGCTGCATTACTAGTAAAAGCAAATGGTATGGGTGGCCCATAGACTCTAAGCAAACACTCATCATCAATTTCCCTTCAGTTTAGGGTTGGCCCCTCCTCCAGAGAACTCCCCCAGCCATCCCCAGCAAGTCCTAGAATACAATCCAAATGGAAGTTTGGGCCTAACTGTAAAGAACATTCCTTTTAGGGACTTCCCTGGTGGCGCAATGGTTAAGAATCCGCCTGCCAATGCAGGGGACACAGGTTCGATCCCTGGTCCAGGAAGATCCCACATGCCGTGGAGCAACTAGGCCCGTGAGCCACAACTACTGAAGCCCGCACACCTAGAGCCCAGGCTCTGCAACAAGAGAAGCCACCACAATGAGAAGCCCACGCACCACAACGAAGCCCCGCTCACCGCAACTAGAGAAAGCCTGCGAGCAGAAACGAAGACCCAAAGCAGTCAATAAATAAATAAATATTTTAAATAAAATTTTTTATAAACGGAGATTCCTTTTAGAGCTGGAAAACAATTCTGTATTTTGTGCACAAGGAAGGTAAACCCTCTCCTTTCTTCAGCCAAGATAATCACTGGTTTGCTATGTGACACATTTATGGACTCTTCACTGATTTTTTAAAAAGGTTTCTCATAAGAGTTTTTTAAAATAAGAGAAATATATGCTTATCTCAAACAATATAGCAAGATGTAGAAGAAAAATAAAAGCCCCCTTCTCTCTGTCTCCACACCCAATTCCCTAGTCTCACTACCAGAGTCAGTGAAGATACATACACAGTGAGATCATACTGTATGTAATTTTTAAAATATATACCTCATTCTTTTCATCAGATGCATAGTATTCCAAAATATGAAAAAATATATATATAATTATATACTCAGTACTTCAGAGATGGACTTATAGGTTGTTTTTCATTTTTTGTGGGTTTTTGGATTTTTTTTTTTTTTTGGCTACATATAGTAGTCCCCATTTAGCCACCGTTTCAATTTCTGTGGTTTCAGTTACCCATGGTCAACCATGGTCCAAAAATATTAAATAGAAAATTTCGGAAATAAACAATTCATACTTTAAATTGTGAACTGTTCTGAGTAGCGTAGTGAAATCTTGTGCCTTCCTGCTCCATCCTGCCCCAGAGGTGAGTCATCCCATAGTCCAGGTATCCAGGCCGTACATACTACCCACCCATTAGTCACTTAGCCATCTTGGTTATCAGATAAACTGTTGCAGTATCGCAGTGCTGTCGTCAAGTAACCCTTATTTACTCGATAACGGCCCCAAATGATGCTGGCAATTCAGATATGCTCTTAGTGAGCCTAATTTGTAAATTGAACTTTATCATAGGTATGTATGTATAGGAAAGAAAAACATAGTATATATAGGGTTTGGTAGTAACCATGGTTTCAGACATCCGTGGAGGATCTTGGAATCTACCCCCATGGACAAGGGGGGGGTACTGTAAATATCTTTGTGTGCACGTGTGTTTGTATATGTGTGTAATCATTGCATACTTATGAAAGGATATCTGTGAAATAAATTTCTAGCAGTAGGATTGCAAGGTCAATGTGAGGGTCACATTTTATTTTCAGATATAACCAAACCTCAAAAAAGTTGGTATTAGGTATTATAAATTTTATGTATATATAAATTATTTGTTCAGTTTCTCTGGAGAACCCTGACTAATACAAGTATTAGTATTATGTATTATGTATTATATACAAGTCTTTTTTCTTTTCTGTTTATAGTTATTATAAAATATTGGCTATATTCCCTGTGTTGTATTATATATACTTGTAGCTTATTTATTTTATACATAGTAGTTTGTACCTGTTAATTCCCTACCACCATCTTGCCTCACCCTACTGGCAGCCACTAGTTACAACCGCCAGTCTTCAAGTTTCTCAGAAGTGAATGTCCTTCTGCATCTTGAATGGAATCAAGAATAAAATGAACTCAACAAATGAATTATACAGTAGAAGGTAGACAGAAACAATTATTCCATACCTTTACAGTACAGCCATAGTGCTTGAAAGGACAGTCTTGTTCAGCTTCAGGACACACAGCAAGGTGTTCATCCACCTACAAAACAGACAGCCTCATGCTAGAGAAATGCATCCCTGACTCTCCAGCTACCTGGTATAACTGCGGTAAGCAGGGAGCCAAGGGTGGCTTGGGAAGAAGGGAGGAAGCACCATGCTGAAGCCTGGGGGAAGGAGAGCTAAGATGAAAACAGAGAAGAATTCTCAGGGAGAAGGGGAGGGAAGACAGAACCACGGTTATCATGAGGATAATTTAAGCCTTGGGCCCCTGCTTATGGGATTTTATCAAACACACACCACAGTGATTACTGAAACTTTATCTTACATAAAATCTAAGAGAATTATTTACAGTTACCTCAGTTCTTGGAATAATCTGCAAACACTTGTTGGGACAAGATACTGGGTACTCAGGACACAAGTTTTCCTCATGATTCTGAAACAGAAAAAGTGTGCTGAAATAAAGCCAGCCTTGCTTCCAAAGGCTCCCTGTATGGCCTCAGTGTGTGTATACATATGTCCCTTTGGGGATCTATGCTATGTGGGTTGCCCTCTGTAGGAAGGTATGGCCTAGTTCCAAAAAGCGTTCTAGATGGCTGCCTTCTTGGTATAAATGAATTCAATTCAGTTCAATTTTCCAATTCTTTTAAAGAAGGTCAGCGGACATGGGACTGACAGAGGACAGACTATGGGAGTCACTGGCTTGGCTCCTTTGGCACATGTAAAGGGTACCCCACGCTCTAGTCTTATGCCGGCATCCTGCCTCTCCAATTAGGTCAGAGCATCCTGAGGGCAGACAGTGTGGTCACCTCCTTGGGACCCAGCGCCTAGCGCCACTCCTGGACCACTCACACTCAGCAGGTGCTCAAACAACATTTTTGCCAATGATACATGAATAGAGTCCCACCAAGAAGGTTTTTAGCTTTTTATAGAACCCTCAGATAAAGTTATTCTTTAGACCTCTTTCTGCATAAAAATAAATCCAGAAAAGTGCTTCCGGTATCCCACCTGATTCACTGTGACCACTGAGGCAGAATTTAGTCCCATAAAGATGATTCTTTTTTTTTTTTTACCTGTAGGTTGATGACTACCACATCCTTTTTGCAATAAAGGCATTTTTCCTCTCGAAACGGACAGTCTGCACTCAAATGCTCTTTCAGATCTTTGCGAAGAACTGGCTCCCGACAGCTCTCATTAGAGCACTGCACAGCTTGGAATAAGCAGTGCTGAAGGTGGTCCTGCGACAGATAACAACAAGCCAGTGGGGACCCACTGAGCAGGGCAGTGGGAGGGGAAGCCTGCTGCAAGGCCTAGTGAGGGAGGGAGGGAGGACCCTGGGGCAGCAGGAGAAAGGACTGTGAGGGTGGGGGGCAGGGGGCACAGCCTCTGTCACAGGCTCTCTGCAGAGGCCACCCGCTGCCTCTGCTGAGCACAGGGCATGGAGAAGGCTGCCTGCACGGAGGCTGTGACAGCCAGCCTTGTTTGGAGGACAGGGGAAGATGCGTGACGAAGAAAGCATACCGGGTTTATCTTTGATTACCTATTAACCTGCTCATATTCTCAGGTTAGCTCTTGAATATTTTCCTTAGGCATGCCAATTAATTTACCAGCTCCTCAAGGACATTTCTTTTGTGCACCCTCCATCCCCACCTCCAGCACCAAGTACTAATCTCTGCACAGCGGACGGTAAAAGCCGGAACAGAGGGCAAAGAGGGAAGAAGAGAAGGCTACCCCCTAAGTAAGTGAAGGAAGGGGAAGGACTAAAGGAAAGAAAGGGAGGGAGAGAAAGCTGTTCCAGAAGCGGTAAAGAAAATGATAGAGGACTACAGGATCACAGGCCCAGGAGAAGCTGGGATGGGTCATCCTTGTCAAGTCAGGAAATGTTCTTGACCAGAATATTAGAGGATGATGACTCAGACGGTGTTCCTCATGTTACAGATTGTTTAAAGCAGGCCTGTCTTAACAGAACCTGTAGATAACACTGCAAGTTACTGTGGTGCTGACAAGGTATCAAAATCCTAAGGAGTTTGTTCCCCACCATAAGATCCTTTAAAACAGGGCTGGCAAGCCACGGCCCTTGGGCCAAATCTGGCCTGCTACTTGTTTCTGTAAGTAAAGTTTTATGGAGAACAGCCACACCTATGTCTCACACATTGGCTATGGCTGCTTTCCCTCTGAGATGGGAGAGTCAGGTAGCTGCGACAGACACTGTGTGGCTGGCAAAGCTTAAAATATTTACTATCTGGCTCCTGACAGAAACAGTTTGCTGACCCCTTCAGAGAACACACAGTTTTACTATAGGAGGTAAATAAATATTATAGCTATTCTCCTTTGCCTCTAGTAATGAGAGACAGTGACAACGGACATCTACATCTTCTCCAAAATCCATGGATGCTACCCCTCAGCTCTCACCAAAACCGTCAGCATTCATCAAGACTCTGCTACCTGTGGGATCCTACACCTTACTCGCAAGGTGAAGGAGAACAGGGGATGAGAGGAAATACAAAAGAAACAGGTGAAAATAAACCAGCCACTGTTCTCCAGAAGCTGAGGATCTGGTCACTAGAGCTGATCAATGAGCCTCATTTCCTGTACAGGCTTAGTGACAACAAAGTTGGTAAAGAGGCCCTGCTTGCTCTAGGACCTGACTGTCAAAACAAGTGGCGAGGGACTGTCTTAGGAAAACACAAAAACCTTCTGTGAACTTCCAAAGAAATTCTTGGGTTAACAAGGGAATCATTTACACATTTATGAGCTCAGTGCCTAGGGGTTTAGAGGCATGCTGGGGAAAAGACTGAATCACCTGAAATACATTCCAAAACGTGTGGCTGGGAAGGGAAACTTGTAGCATCCTCCTAGCAATTCCCTGGAAGCTAGAGATGCTTGCCTCGTATTCATTCATAGTGTGATTGAACCTGACAAGGGCTTGCTGTGGCGGAGCCACGTTTCCTGCTTCCCATTTAACAACCTTCCACCGCTGGATGCAAGAGCAAGGTAGGATAGCTTCATCTGAAAGGAACTCGACAACCCTTCACCTCCCCTACACCTCATTTGTTTGCATCTCATACCAATGCTTCACCTTTACACTACATTCTAGCTCTGTTCTGGTCTGTGTCGTCTGCCTTAGATCACAACCTCTAAGACAGCAGGGCCCACAGCGGCTAGGAAACACCCACCCCAGCACCTGCAAATGCTTCCAGGCAGGGACCCTTACAATTGTGTCTTTCTGCAGTCATGCCCTGGCTCCCATCCTAGGAATCCCCAATCCTTCACAGTTTTCCAAAAATGACATGTCCTTGCTCGACCATTTCTTTTGCCCAGCATGTCTCACACCTTCTCTTTTGGATCAATAACCCTAACCCACAAGTTAAGGTCTAGCACACATGGTATGTCCTCCATGTGTTCCATACAAAATGAATCTCTTCACGTGAGATTAATTTCACACCTTAGCCCTCGGTGTGCTGCACTGTAGCCAAGTGTACCTCTAGACAAGAATTCGCTGAGGGCAACCCAATGAATCTCCGTACCATGCTTAGCCCAGTAACTGTCACATAAAAATGTTCAGTACATGTCACTGGAAAAATAGCAAAGGCAAATATTGTTCACCAGTAATACCAACCTGGTATCGTCCCAAAATAACCTTGGCATTACATCCAGGAGCATTTTTGCAAAATACATATAAATTGAGGACTTCTCTTTTGCAGCAATTGTCTTTAAACACCTAAAAGATAAACAAGGTAGGTCTCACACACTCCAAATCTTTAGAGCAACGTGAAGGAAGCTATTATTAATTCGGTCTTCAAGTACATCTCAAAAGTTGGGTGGAAACTTCCAGTCAGTGGTTGGAATGGAAATACCAGATTCACCACCATAAAAGATAAGCCTGTCTCAGATACATCTGACAGGCCACCAAACATACAAGCCAGGTAATTTAATGCTTAGTGCAGTAGGCTGAAGCTAGGAGAATCTTGTGGTGAACTTGACCCCACATGCTCAAAGGTCAAGAGGTGGGGCTGTGGATGAGGGTGATGCTTTCAGCTTCCTGTCCCAGGGTGAACGTTTGCATTAGTCATCAGGTGGTGTCACTGAAACTGTGCTGACTTATTTTTCAGCACAAGCCAGGGGTTGGCAAACTTTCTCCGTAAAGGGTCAGAGAGTAAATATTTTCAGCTTTGCCAACCACGTTGCAATGTTCTCTGTTGCAACTATTCAACCCTACTGTACCCGATACTTAAATGAATGGGCATGCCTGTGTTCCAATAAAACGTCATTTATGGACAGTGAAATGTGAATTTCATATAATTTTCACATGTCACAAAACTTTATCCTTCTCTTGATTCATAAAATAAATTTTTGTTTTGAAATAAAGACTCACAAGAAGTTGTAAAAAATAGTATAGAGTTCCTGTGTACCCTTCTTTTGATTTTTTTCAATGATTTAAAAATATAAAACCATTCTTAGCTCACAGGCCATACAGAAACAGGTGGTAGGCTGGATTTATCCCAACAAATCCCATGTTGTAGTATGCCAACCCCTGGCCTAGTGCATGAGGCAGACACAAGTACAACTAAGCATTTGGAAAACGCATCATAAGAGCAGAGAGAAGGAGCATGAACATTTGACTAAAAAGACAAACAATTCACTTAAAAATGGGCAAAGGATTTGAATAGGAATCTCTACAAAGAAGATATCCAAATGGCCAAGCACATGAAAAAATGCTCAGCGTCATTAATCATTAGAGAATCAAAACCACGAGATACCTCTTCATACCAACTAGGAAGACTAAAATCAAAAAGATGGACCACAACGTATTTTGGTAAGGATGTAAAGAAGCTGGAACTCTCATACCTTTGCTGGTAAGAATGCAAAATGGTGCAGCTGCTTTGGAAAATAGCCTGGCAGTGCCTCAGAATGTTAAACACAGAGTTACCATGAGACCCAGTCATTCCACTCCTAGGCACACACCCCAGAAACGTGTACACTTTAAAGGCAAATTTTATGGCAAATGCATTGTATCTCAATAAAGCTACTGTTAGACATAATAATAATAAGAGAAAGTTTTAGAGACTAAACAGATGAGAAAGTGATTCCAGGAAGCAGGGTGTTTCATTCCTGCAAAGCGACTCATGGTAACGGGAGCTAGTACAGGAAGAGGGTAAAGAAGAAGTGGGAGAGGAATCCTGGGGGGGGCGTCAGTAAGGACTCACACTAGCCTCTCTCAAAGAGGGGTGGGAATGGGGTCCCACCTTACCCCACAGTAGAGGAATACGGACTCCAAGGAAGGTCCCCCTCCCGCTCTTCTGCTCCAACTTCTCTGTCCAATTCAACCCAGGACACTGGCTGCTCCGTCACCCAGAGAACTGCTAACCCAAAGCATGATTGTCTTACCTCCTGAGATTTGATCACCTCCTTATCTACAGGGCAGAGTGGGACTGCGTTTAATTCTCTGGAAAGAGAAATCAAAATGAAGCCAGAATTAAGGGTTGACCTCAACAGCCCATCCAAGAGCAGCCGCAGCGCTTCAGCCACGCCTGACCCCTCGAAGTTCCCCCTGCGCAGGCCAGGCCCTGTCTTTATTCATGCTGTTCCCTCCTCCCAGAAGGGGCTCCCCAGTACCCCAACTTCAGCACCTCCTCAGTCTGCCTGAGAAACTCCCATTCATCCTCCAGGATGTGAGTCAAAGAGGGAGTCCTGCAGACAGAGTCAAATGTCCTCTGCCAACGTTCCCTCGGCAGTCCTGTGCTATCACACTGTACCCCAACTTGCACCTTCACTAGAACATAGAGGGTCCTGTGTCACACTGGACCTCCAGCTCTTCACCTCTGTGCACTAGAGCTTGGTTTAGCGAGGTGTCTGGAACACACAGGTGCTGAATGAACGAACCCAGGAATGAATGAGAAGGTGCTGTAATAACCCCCTTTCCAAGCTTGGGAGGGTACAACTTCCGTGACGTCCCTGTATAAACCCCCAAAGCCTGCTTCCATGTGTCTCCTGGTCTCCACCTCAAAATGGCACAACCCAGGTTTTACAGCTGCCGGGGAGTCGACAGAGTATCCACGGCGGCAAGGAACCTTCCAGATGCGACACCGCCTCTGCCTCAAGGCAAGGAAAGGTCAGGGCGCCTACAGGAAAGACCCCCATGAGATACAGGTCCTTCCTCACATGGACTGTGCACTGAGGTTTGCCTTCGTGTGCAAAACAGGTGTGGTCTGAATTTTCAGAAAAGGTGACTATCAATAAGACGGAAAAAAATGAAGATTATTCCTCAGGCTCTCAGAGAAGGGTGCTGGGAGGGCCCGTCCTCATATTCGTGGTTCTGTGGCCAACCACAGCAATTCCCGAAACCACGATTATAGTTGAGTGGCCACAGATGACACGTAGATCCCAGGAACAGCCCTGTCCGCTTCTGGCCGGAGCGCAGGTCCTGAGCACTCACCTCAGGGACACGATGCAGTGCTGGCAGAAGCGGTGCCCACAGCCCGTCTGATGGGGGTTGTGAAGCACTGAGCGGCAGAAGGCACATCTGTAGCGCTCTTCCAGCTGCTCCACAAACTGGTACTCTGCGTCTGGCTCAAAGTCCAAAGACGTGGAGTTGCCAGAATTCTGGCGGATGAAGCCACAGGGGACACCTCCTTGCTCCTCAGAACAAGCCATTCTGGGGGATCAGGAGAAGAGAAGGAAAATTCAGTGTGCAAATACCACAGCAACTACAGCCATCAGGTGTTTGAATCATCTGTTCCCTGATTAGTGAACATCACTCACAGGGTCATTCTGTTATGACTTTGTAACCATAGTAACAATCTCCTGCCACTGGAGGGCTCCTGAAGAGGGGAGGTGGCTTTGGGGCGCTCAGCGGGAGGCTGGACCAGATAACTTCTAGCGCGATTCAGTGAGACTTCAGCCCACAGTCCATCAAAAGGATGCTAAATTATCCTTCAGTGTGGCTACATGCTTGGGCAAAATATAGCCAGGTGTTAACTACATTCTGAGTAAACTCTGGTTATGGATTTTTCTTCCACTCAGTTGAGAAAATTGAAACAAACGTTTTGTTAACATTTTTTAGAAGCAAGAACTTTGTGTACCAATACATTCCTTGCAAAATATATAAATACATCACCACCACCAAGCCACACCATTTCTCACCTGAGCTAAATAAAAGCCCATTAACTGCTTTCCCCTCCAATCCATTCTCCATACTATAGCCAGGGTGATATTTTCAAAATACAAGTATGATGGAAGATTATCTCTCCTCATCATTCTGTGGCTTCCCAGCGCTCTTAGGTTAAAGCCCGTGGTGCTAAGCAGGCTACAAGAATGCATCCTCCCCACCCAGTAGCATCCTGGACCTCTCCTCCCCTTGCTTCCTGCACTCCAACCACACAGGCCTTCTTTTAGTTCTTCTAATGTATCATGCTGTCTTCTGCCACAGGGCCTTTGCACAAGCTGTTGCCTCCGTGCTTCCCCTATCCCCTTCCAGGCCTCCTCATTTAGTTAACTCAAATTCATGCTTCAAATTTCATTGCAAGCTTCATATTCTCAGGTAAGCCTTTTCTTCTCCCCCTGGTCTGACAGCAGGAGGTCTACTCATCAGTCTGTAAAACATGCAAGGCTTCCAGGGAGTGGCTAGGGGATAAAGGTAAGTGTGTGTGTGTGGGGGGGGGGGGTGGATTTTTTGCCTATAATCCTTTTGAATTTTTGAATATGGATATATTACCCATCCAAATATTTTAAAAATATACAAAACCAAAAAACCATTCATCGACTGTTATATTTGTCATAGAACCAGGTTCCATTCCTTCAGAGCAACACTTGATTTGAGATTGGACACGCATTTGTGTGATTATTTTATTTATATCTATGCTCCTCAGTGGCACACAGATATAGCATCTGGTCTTGCTTACTGTTGCGTTTCCAGCCCTTGGCACTAAGCCAGGCGTGGAGAACAACTCAGCTATTTGTTGAGTTAATGTTATTCAATGGACTTTTTGTGAGACCCTCAGCAGGGCAGCTCTAAGTAGTACTGGCCTGTAACATAGTGATTCTTTTTTTTTTTCTAATAGGTGAGGGAAATTAAGAGGTGCCAACTTCCAGTTACAAAATAAATGAGTCATAACATAGTGATACTTAACCTTTTCTGAGCAAGGACTTCCCCTGGCTTTGAAAATTTGATGAAAACTCTAGACCTTCTCCCTATAAAATAGCACACACACCTTACATGTGTACCCTTAAGGACCCTTGGGACCCCCACCAGTGGTCCCCAGGTTAACAACAGTCTGTCTGCCCTGCAGGCATGCTGCTACTTTTGGCACAGTGCCAGGAGTTATGGTTTCAGTGTCTGCAAACAGTGAAAGGATGGGTGGTCCTTGGGGGTGACATCCCTCCATGTGGCTGTGGTACAGGAAGGCTTGGCCTGCAGGATTGCTTGCTTTGGCTTGTTCTTGGGATCCCTCATAATTCTCCCAGAGCTGACAAGTTCAGCTGGGCCTGGGAGCAGCTGTGTGGCCTTGACCACGTAGGCAAGAGATGGGCTGCCCCATTCAACCCTAAGCTCTGCCCAGGTCAGCTGCTGAGTCCGGGCTGTGGCCTGGATAAATGGAGCAGAGGAAGCAACTGGCCTCTTTCAACAAATAAAGCTTGCTCTCTGGAGAAGCCCAGCAGACCAGGGGATTTTTTTTCTTTGTCCTGGGGTTTGAGACCAAAGCCCCATGTTTTCCTCCCTGCCTGTTTCCTGCAGAATTTCAAGGGTGGTAGGTGAGCAGGACAAGATGTGACTGTTCCCCCTTTAACGTTGTTTACTCTTGAGATTTAACAAAAAAGTTTTAACTATGATGATGAAGAGGCACAGCACTTGATGTACACACACAACCTAATAACCAAGACTCACCTTTCTCTCAGAGAAGGGGGAGAACCTATCCCAAACTGCCCTAACCTGTCCTGTGTCCTCCAGTCCCAAGGGAGAACAATTCACGTCCTATGCCCCTGTAGGATTCTCTCTCAAGATCACACTCATGTCTATGTCACAGAGCATCTAAATTTGGACCCTCAGAGATATACTCTAAAGCAGCAGGTCTGTTGAGCCCCCAGAACAAGGGAGGAGGATGTACAAAACTCAGTTTGGGTTCCCCTCCACTACATTCTATCCTCTTTCCTAGCAAAAGAATTTAATGTGCTCATCTGTGTCTCTGTCTGTCTTTCTCTACCTTCCACTCAATTTTGCTGTGAACCAAAAATCACTCTACAAAATAAAATCACTTAAAAAATGTGAGGACAACTAGGGCACCTACTAGGCACTGGTGAGGGACCACAGACACGTAAGTGCACAGGAGGAACCCCCAGCAACCAGTTGTTTCAATTATACTTTTATTTTTCCTAATACATTTTTTATCTTTCTTATTTTTATTATAATTTTTTGCGGTACGTGGGCCTCTCACTGTTGTGGCCTCTCCCGTTGCGGAGCACAGGCTCCGGACGCACAGGTTCAGCGGCCATGGCTCACGGGCCCAGCCACTCTGCTGCATGTGGGATCTTCCCGGACCAGGGCGCGGACCCGTGTCGCCTGTATCAGCAGGCGGACTCAACCACTGTGCCACCAGGGAAGCCCTATCTTTCCTATTTTACTTTGTTCTTTATTCTTTGATATTGTACTGCTCCTTTTGTTTGTTTGTTTGTTTGTTTCTTTCTTTCCTTTTTATTTTTTTACCACAACACAAAGGCTGTGGGATCTTGGTTCCCAGGCTGGAGGTCAGGCCTGAGCTCCTGTGGTGGGAGCTCCAAGTCCAAACTGCTGCACTAACAGAGAACCTCAGACCCCAGGGAATATTAATCAGAGTGAGGCCTCCCAGAGGGCCTCATCTCAGCACCAAGACCTGACTCTATCCAACTGCCTGCAAACTCCAGTGCTGGACGTCTCAGGTCAAACAACTAGTAAGACAGGAATACAGCACCACCCATCAAAAAAAAAAAAAAAAAAAAAGAAATGACAAAAAATATGTTACAGACAAAGGAGCAAGGTAAAAACCTACAAGACCAAATAAATGAAGATGAAATAGGCAACCTACCTGAAAACGAATTCAGGGTAATGATAGTAAAGATGATCCAAAATTAAAAATACTCTAGAAAGAATCAGTAGCAGAATAACTGAAACAGAAAAATGGATAAGTGAGCTTGAAGATAAAATGGTGGAAATACTGCCAGGGAGCAGAATAAAGGAAAAAGAATGAAAAGAATTGACTACAGTCTCAGAGACCTCTGGAACAACATTAAATGCACCAACATTCGAATTACAGGGCTCCCAGAAGAAGAGAAAAAGAAAGGGTTTGAGGAAATATTTGAAGAGATTATAGTAGAAAACTTCCCTAAGATGAAAAAGGAAATAGTCAATCAAGTCCAGGAAGCACAGAGGGTACCGTAAAGGATAAACCCAAAGGGAAACATGCCGAGACATATTAACCAAACTTTCAAAAATTAAATACAGAGAAAAATATTAAAAGCAGCAAGGGAAAAGCAACAAATAACATAACAAGGGAATCCCCATAAGGTTAACAGCTAATCATTCAGAAGAAACTCTGAAAGCCAGAAGTGGGTGGCAGGACATATTTGAAGTGATGAAAGGGAAAAACCTACAACCAAGATTACGCTACCTAGCAAGGACCTCATTCAGATTTGATGGAGAAATTAAAATCTTTACAGACAAGCAAAAGTTTAGAGAATTCAGCACCACCAAACCAGCTTTACAACATATACTAAAGGAAGTTCTCTAGGCAGGAAACACAAGAGAAGGAAAAGACCTACAATAACAAACCCAAAACAATTAAGAAAATGGTAGTAGAACATACATATCTATAATCACCTTAAATGTAAATGGATTAAACACTCCAACCAAAAGACATAGACTGGCTGAATGGATACAAAAACAAGACCCATATATATGCTGTCTACAAGAAATGCACTTCAGACCTAGGGACACATACAGACTGAAAGTGAGGGGATGGAAAAAGATATTCCATGCAAAAGAAAATCAAAAGAAAGCTGGAGTAGCATTTCTGATGACAGACAAAATAGACTTTAAAATAAAGACTATTACAAGAGAAGAGAAGGAGAATACATAATGAACAATGGATCAATCCAAGTAGAAGATATAATAATTGTAAATATTTACGCACCCAACATAGGAGCACCTCAATACATAAGGCAAATGCTAACAGCCATAAAAGGGAAATAGACAGTAACACAATCATAGTGGGGGACTTTAACACCTCACTTTCACCAATGGACAGATCATCCAAAATGAAAATAAATAAGGAAACACAAGGTTTAAATGACCCATTAAACAAGGTGGATTTAATTGATATTTATAGGCTATTCCATCCAAAACCAACAGAATACACTTTCTTCTCAAGTGCTCATGGAACATTCTCCAGAATAGACCATATCTTGGGTCACAAATCAAGCCTTGGTAAATTTTTAAAAATTGAAATCGTATCAAGTATCATTTCCGACCACAATGCTATGAGACTAGACATCAATTACAGGAAAAAAAACTGTAAAAAATACAAACACATGGAGGCTAAACAATACACTACTAAATAACCAAGACATCGCTGAAGAAATCAAAGAGGAAATCAAAAAATACCTAGAGACAAATGACAATGAAAA